CTATTGTTAAAGACACATGATGACCCCAAACGTCCTTTAATTTTGTGTAGTTTGGTTGCTTTCTCATTAACGTATGCATTAATCCCCTCTTCATCATTGTTTCGCATGATTGGATTTAAACACAGTATATTGCAATTATCGGTATTCTTACTAGCAATTTTATATTTGATATAAATCTTTATCATATTAAAATGATATATGTACCAAATTTTATTTTGATAATTATACCATATCTGAATTTCAAATGAATAATATTTTAATCTACGTTTTATTTTTCTTTCTTCATTACCAGTATGATGGCCACAGCAATATCGCCTTGAAAAATCTTACTTGCAGTTTTGCTCATCACAATTCTATGTTAAGGGTCGTGTCCAATATTATTAGTTATCCAAATGTCTAATCATACTATCTATTTACCATCGGCATCTACTTCATTAATCATGGCCTGTAGTCAAGCCTCGGTAGGATTTTGTCCCAGGGATCTCATCACAGTTCCCAGTTCTTTTGTGTTAATGGTACCGTTACCATCTTCGTCGAAAATACTGAAAGCCTCTTTAAGTTCTGAATTTTAAACAAGTATAAATCTTCTTATTAAACGGACTTTTCCCTTCCGATCAATTTCTCCCATTTTTTTTTTTGGCCTGTCATTCATTCAAATATGAGGCAGTTGTTTCCTGTGATTGAGGACAAAGTATGTATCAATTCATTGACCTCATACAATTTAGACCGCAATCATTTTATTCTCTGGAGGACGACAGGGATTTGTACCCCATGTTTTTTTTAACACAGAACAGAAACATTCTTTTATTAAGTTGTAGGTGCAAACATTTTTTTAATCATTTTTCAAAAGCAAACTCAAAAATAAATTCCTCCTCCGCACCCAGAGAATTAAAGGGTTGTCATGTTTGACTGCGGCGATTAACTGTTTCTGACATTTGGCTGTTATCTACCCTTAAACTTTTGAGTTCTTTGGATTTCCAAACATTTGTATCAAGGATTCCAGGAAAGGAAGGAAATGTGGAGCGTTAATGTCTATACATTCCTAATTACAATATGTTTATACCAATTCAGGTCCTGCAAGGGGAAAAATGGGCCAATGACAAATTACAATGTATGATATCGGTGAAATAAAAACAAATATATAAGATAATTTTTGATATTCAGTTCTCTGCAGTAGGAAGCTGATATTCGGTTTGATTTAATTGCTTATTTAGAGGAGACACCAGATGAAGGTGCTAAAGATTCATATGAATCTCCTTGTGTCTAAACAAGCCATAATGGGAATAAAAATGCCGAGTGTAGCGAGCTGAAATTTTCTTACCACTTTATTTTATGTTCACTATTACGTTTTTTTTTTTTTAATTCTTTGTGCACACATTTTTTTTTCAGTTTTCAAAGGCAATTTTTGCCTGGTTGCCCTTTTTACACGTGCTTTCATGGTTAACTAGTTACCGAATATTATCCCCAACTTCAACATAGTTGGTTTGATATCATCTATCAATATTTCTCAGATTTAGGGAAGAATTGTCTTTTTTTTAAGTCTTAATGATATGAACTTCTTTTGATACTAGTGTCGTTTTTACAGATTTGTTAAGACCTGATAAAATATCTGACTCACAATATCTATCTAGGAAGTATATACTAGACAAGTTTTATACACTTATTCAACTAACCTGCAGTGCGTTCCTCTGTGAGTTTATCTGCCTGAAAAGAAAAACATAATATACAAATGAATGTCGATATCTATCGGCTTGTATCGATACCTATATGGTATTAATATTCATCAATGGATCAAATGATTTTTTCTTTGCATAAAAACAATGGCTAAAGTACAAATGAGAATCCTTCTTGTGAAGTTTAAAGGGCTATTGGTGCATGGTAATTTCTATCCTTGTTCTGAATATTGTCTCCCTCGACTTATTTACCTGCTTTTTGCACTGGTAATAAAGTAAGAGTGAAATCATTTTGACCTAGGGACTATATACACAAGTAAGAATCAATGAAACTACTTCATTTTTAACTCAGAAGAAAAAGGTATAACAAAACAAACAAACTAACTGAAAAATTCCTTATCGCCAATTTAGGCACCCTTTGTGCTTACGTTCAACAAAATATTATACAGTGATATGTAAGTAATAAAATGGAAGATGCAGAGCCCTGCATATAATTCAATATTGTCATGTATTTATTACGACTAATTTAAGGAAATAAGTATATAAATAAGAAGATGTGGTATGATTGCCAATGAGACCACTTGCTCCCTGAAACAGAATGACGTAGATGTTAACAAATATAGGTCACCAATGCCTTAGAATGCCTTCAACGATGAGCAAAACCCATACAGCAAAGCAAGTTATAAATCGACCAGACGCCCTTTATTTAAAACTGCTTACGGCATGATTTATGTACAAAACAATAAACGAACACAAATATGATATACAGCAACAAACGACAATCACTGAATATTCTTACAACATATCGAGTTAAGTAATGTGATAAACAATCTGTATGCTTTATTATTGACAAGAAGACTGAATGTTCGTATAGTTTTCCGAAAGAACAATAACCCATCAGGAACAACCAAATACAGTTCAAAGACTCCTTCAATCAAACTAAAGAGTCTAAATTCACCCCCCCCCCCCCCGAAAAAAGGAAGAAATAAAAAAAAAAGTAGATGTATCTTTTTGCCAATAAGAATGTCCTGAGTGTTTAAATTCTCTTAATGTTACAGTTAGTATAGCTTTTCTTCACTATAAATTGCAGATTTTGAAATAAAAGTAATACATTTCAAATTAACTTACCATGTTGTTTACTTCGATGTCTTTGATTCGGATAGTTGGGAATGGGTTACGGCTTCCTTGTGCGAAAGTTGTGGCCTCACAGGGTATTTCAACAGAAGTAAGATAAATATTATCTTATATAATATAAATATGGCAAACTGTTACTTTCTTTAGTTTGTGATTAGATTTGTCGATAAAGATTTAAATGCATTCAAACAGTTCATGCATGTAGTGAAATTGATATTTGTAGAAACAAGGAACTGCTCCAACAGGAAGACCCATACCTATATAGCTACATGTAGTTATCATTGAGACTCATAAGAAAAATTCTGTGTTGATTTGTATAAATAAAAAGAAAAAAAACATTGATAGTAAAATATGTTTAAAGATTCCATGAAGACATTTAGAAAGAAAAACTTCTGAAATAGAATACTTAAACTTGAGTCTTTATTTTCCCCCATTGGCCTCTTTTCTCTAAATATCTCATACAATTCTTTGAAATGATGTCATCCCGCAATGCGACAAATCTCTATGGTGTTACGACGTTGTTTACCATGGACTAATATTCCTTTCTTGACTTGTCAAGACGTATATATCATGCACCAACTGATTTCTTTGTTTTTTTTTAAAAATATTAAATGCTTTTGATGGAAATTTAAATTACTTTTGCACAAAATCGATAAACATATACATGTAACAGATATAGAATTACATCCTTGATATCAAATTTTAATGGTTAAAAACATAAAACAGTAATTTATTTTATCTTGTTATTTCTTGAACCCAGGACTTTTTGTCTATTATTTTCTCATGCAGGACTTCCTCTTTGGTCTAAAAAGAGACACATTATATTAAGTGTTGAAAAGCATATCAATTTGAAACATAATCCGTTAAGCTAAACGTAGTCTTGGGCATGAATGTGTTACAGATGTTTGGAATAAATTAATTCTGTTATTTTTTCAGTTTATCTTTCTTTATTTAACGTGGTATTTCTAATACCACATCGATTTTACATATGGAGTAGTATTTTATAGAGGAAACGGTAGTATTTTTTACCTCCATAGTCGACGATACTAACATTTTCTAAATTCACCACTGTTTATAATAAAACCCTAGACACAATAGTTATGTGTGATACTAGGACTTTATTATTCTGTTTTAGAAATTGAAGTCAAATGGTGCAATAACCATCTTCGAACGGAGCTTGTTTATAGCATCCGTGGCCACCGTCATTTTACATTTGGAAGCCTTTTTGAATAATTCTCAGACAATATTTCCCTGGATATCAAAATTTACCCCCCCCCCCCCCCCTTCCGAAAAAGAGGAAGAAAAAAAGTAAATGCATTATTTTGCCAATAAGAATGTTTTGAGTGTTTGAATTCTCTTAATTTAAAATAAAAGTAATACATTTCCAATGAAATTACCATGTTGTTTACTTCGATGTCTTTGATTCTGGTAATTGGGAATGGTTTACGGCTTCCTTGCGCGAAAATTGTGGCCTCACAGGATATTTCAATAGAAGTAAGATAAACATTATCTTATATAATAGGATGAATTTCATAACAGTATCGACATGGACACCTGATATTTATATGATATCGTGTCGGTCACTGGCTGTCGACAACAAAGACTTCACGCAATTACATATGTCCGGAGCCTCTCAATGGGGATATACATAATTACTATTTTACACATGTCCATTCATAAAACAAATTTTTTTGCTTGAAAGTTTATAGGAATTTTTTTTGAATATATTTATATATTCACAGCAAAAAGTGTCTTTTGAAATAAGAAAAATTCTTTTCTGGCAATAAGTGAAAAATTAAGTAGTGTGTTAGTTATAGACAAGTAGTCCATCATGCATTGCAAATCATTCAGTGGATTGGTCAATCGCCAAAATAAAAAAAAAACTTTATTTGTAAACAAACACTAATACATGCATTGACGGGGGCATAAGTATGCTTAATAATACATGTCCGTATAAGGAAATGTGCACGACCTGTTAAATGCAGCTGTTCTGTTGATTTGAAAAACGAATGGACGGATCACCACGATTTAATTTAGAATTGTACTTATTTTTTTCAATTTGTGTTTCAGTACTATCTATCCATGAATTAAATATGTTCACAATACCTTTTATACTAGAATATTTAAACGAGTGCACCCAGTTTAAAGGTAATTGTTACTGTTATTTTGACATAATAACCTGTACATTATCTCGTGTTACAGTTGACTAGTTTAGTCTTATGCACATAATTTATTATTCCAAAACAGATGTATTGTAAACATATCATTAAATTCATGGATGTATATTGAAAAACAGAAACCGAAAAAGAAGTGAGTACAATTTCAAATTGTAAGGGGGCAACCATTCCTGATTCAGTTAAGATTAGGGAGGGATGGCTATGCAAGATGCTTTTGAATCCAGCATGAATAATATTGCAAATAAACGTTTATGCAGAATTGTTTCAAATATGCGTCCTCAAATAACAAATAAAAATAGTTGAGTAAGACCAAATTCATTTAAATTACCTGCTTAATTTGTAGTAAAAGAATATAGATTCCGTAACTTTTGTTATACGTGTTTAGGTATAACAAAATCTAAAATTAATATCAATGTTTCCACAAAAGCTACTCTGACTCCAATCAACGTAAATTTTGCACACAAGACCGGATTCATATGCTTCTTGATATTTCCACGAGTTATTTTTTGTTAGAATGATATTTAAATGTTCACGAAAAAAATCTGATCGTTTGAGTCTTTGATGGGAATTCAAATTTGTTCCGTGCAAAAAATTATGCAGCCTAGAGGACTAAAATGATTTTTTATGAAGGTCTGGGGTTCTTATTACCAACAAAAATAATCTTAGTATGAAAGCTCTACATCAACTCGTACGAATAAATGTTTTCTTATATTTTTAAGGAGCTACAGAAAGTTTGTGCAAGAAAAAACATAACGTTTTCTTTTCTCCGATTACTTGGTGATATCACCCCTGAATATACTCATTCTGTGAAAAGAAACTTTTTTGTTGTGAGTACATAAATATATTCAAAACAAATTCCTATAAACTTTCATGCAAAAACTTTTATTTTATGAATGGACATGAGTAGAGATAGTAATTATGTATATCCCCATTGAGAGGCCCCTGACATACTGTAATTGCTTGAAATATTTGTTGTCGACAGCCAGTGATATACACGATAACATTTAATTATTATGTGCCCATGTCCACGCTGTTATGAAATTCATTCTATAAATATGGCAAACGATAATATTGACATTTATTTGTCCAATAAACATTTTTACCCTTAGTTTAACTGTTATTTTCTTTACTTTTTGGTAATTGACCAATTAGATTTGTCGATAAAGATTTAAATGCATTTAAACATTTCATGCATGTAGTGAAATTGATATTTGTAGAAACAAGGAACTGCTCCAACAGGAAGACCCATACCTACATGGCTACATGTAGTTGTCATTGACTCATAAGAAAAATTCTGTGTTGATTTGTATAAATAAAAAGAAAAAAACATTGATAGTAAAAAATGATTAAAGATTCCATAAAGACATTTAGAAAGAAACAAATATGTTATATATGAACAACTTCTGAAATAGAACACTAAAACTTGAGTCTTTATTTACCTCCATTGGCCTCTTTTCTCTAAATATCACATACAATTCTTTGAAATGATGTCATCCCGCAATGCAACAAATCTCTATGGTGTTATGACGTTATTTACTATGGACTAATACTCCTTAGACGTATATATCATGTACAAACTGATTCCTTCGTTTATGTTTTTTAATATTAAATGCTTTTGATGGAAATTTAAATTATTGTTGCTCAAAATCGATAAATATTTAAAAGATATAGAATAACATCCTTGATATCAAATTTTAATGGTTTAAAAAATAAAACAGCAATTTATTTTATTTTGTTATTTCTTGAACCCAGGACTTTTTGTCTATTATTTTCTCATGCAGGACTTCCTCTTTGGTCTAAAAAGAGACACATTATATACTGATGGACTTTAAAAACGCAACACTAGATTATTCTTTTTTATTCCACTTTTCCAAGATGCAATTTTTGTAAAATAAAGGTATAAACATAAATTTTATTCATTTCTTTATTGTGTAAAATAAAATTGCCGTTCAAAAGTTGAATTGATGACGTCATTTTTAATGTTCAAATCATGTGGTATGCACTGAAACCCTGGTTTTCCCCCTTATCAATGGATGTGTGACTATCGAAGGCAATGACTGCCTGTAACCAACGCCAAAATGATTGTCAGAAAGGTCAACCAATTCTGTTGGGCATGTTTTGAGTTCTGTTTTGTACCTTCTAATTGTACCTCTGTCCCATGCATTACTGTGTGTTTTGGCACTTCAACGGTTTAAACTTTAGGGCTTTAAATGTTTTTCTGTAGTCGATTCTTTGGCATTTCAGTATAAGGGAAACATTTTTGGCATGAAAATGTCTGCTATGGCATTCGACGACTTGATAAGCCGTTGACGTTACGGCCGTAAACATGTCTAGCAAATGGCGTTGCATAATCAAATTTTAATGACGTGACGTTGTCACTACATATTTATATGGTCATGAATTGTCATCAACAAATCCGTCTGCCTATACCGTTGTTGTAAGGACAGTAAGACGAGTTTCTGACGTGAAATTTTAGGGAAACAGCACGTTAACGTATTCCTGCCTGCAATATTCTGATGGCCTGATTCAGATTTTCATTGCTCAGTCTCGGCAATATTGAGATGAAACATTTTGTAATGATTCAAGTGTGAGTATGCATTGAAACAATTGTTTCACGAAAAAAAAAACTTTAAAAAAATATTTCATGGGTTTCAAATTTCGCTTAATGAAATTCGCGCGACTTCAAAAATCCGGCATGTTCAATAACCTCAGGTAAGTCAGGTATTGTTTTTTTTTAAACATTAGGAAATATGGAAAGCATGAATAGTAGTTATATGAGGATCAATCATGATTTGGTGAAAAAAAATCACCAAAATGTGTGTTGCGTTTCTAAGGTCCGTCAGTATATTCAGTATTGAAAAGCATATCAATATGAAACATAATCCGTTTAGCCAAACGTAGTCTTGGGCATGAATGTGTTACAGATGTTTGGAATAAATTAATTCTGTTATCCTTTCAGTTTATCTTTCTTTATTTAACGTGGTATTTCTATTACCACAACGATTTTACATATGAAGTAGTACTTCATAGGGGAAACGGTAGTATTTTTGACCTCCATAGGTGACGATACTGACATTTTCTTAATTTATCTCTTTTAATAATAAAACCTTGGACACAATAGTTATGTGTGATATTAGGACTTTATTATTCTGTTTTAGAAATTGAAGTGAAATGGTGCAATAACGAACGGAGCTTGTTTATAGCATCCGTGGCCACCGTCATTTTACATCAAAGTTATGAAAATGTGGAAGCCTTTTTGAATAATTCTCAGAAAACAGTTCCCTGCATTTCAAAATTTTACACACTGCAGTTATTCATGAATAAATTCAAAAATGTATTATACCCTTACATCCAAACACGCGCTTCAAAGTAGGCTTCCTTCCTGCTTACACAAAAGGCAAACCTAAAGCCGGGAAAATGTAATCTGTGACTTCTATACGTGCCACACGTACAAAAATATGTATAACCTGCCCCCAATGTGGAATCTATGCCTATCACTCCTTTGCTTTAGATGTGAACAAAACTTCAAGTAGTCGACAGTACCTTGTTACAATATAACGATGAATACCAATTTCAGTTTATATGAGGAAATATTTGCATCAAGTATGATGCAGGTCTCAAATTTTTTAACTTTCAAATATGATTTATGCTTAAAACAATTGGAGAAGATACCTACCAAGTGGACAATCAAAAACCATCAGTAGAATTGAAACAGACAACACCATGATGGCCTTAAAGGAAAAATGAAATAAAAGTGCACAAGACACTACACAGAAAACAAAAAACATGGACCAACACGATCCTAAGTAAAAACCGTGGATGATGAACTCAGGAACTCTGAAGGCTAAGCAGCTTCTGCTCCACTAGTCGATATAATCCTAATTTGATACGTTGATGATCTATATTAGGTTATAATAAATACATTGTATAAAACAATAGCAGATTGGAAAACGTTTATTGTCTAACCCTAAGACATCAACAGGTTTTGTAAATGTTCTATCAATAAACTTGACCGAAGGAAAAGGTTAGGAAAAATACACGATTATCAGCACTGTGTCGATGCCGCTGTTGGTGAATTTTTAGTCCCCGAGGGTGTTATTAGCCCACCAGATGGTGCTTCGCTACTGACATGATTTAAAACATACTCAGATTTAGAAAGTATTAAGAAAGTAAGGATCACTTAGATGTACTCTACAGGTGGTATCAAAAAGAAGTGGATTCTTAAAAAAATCGAAAGTTTTCAAATAGTAAGAATGTATACAATCGGAAAATGTCGACAAACTACGGTTAAGAGGAGGGTTGGCTCCTTTAAACACGTTTAACCCCGCCACATTCTGTATATGCCTGTGCCAAGTCAGAAGCCTATACTTCAGTGTTTGTCGTTGGTTCATGTCTGTCATATTTGTTTTTTGTAAATTGTTTTGTTATAAATTAGGCCGTCAGTTTTCTCAATTGAATTGTTTCATATTTTTCATGTCAATAATATGTATGTATAGATACCAGGTTAGCGAAATAGGCTTTAACTTAACAATCAACGAGCATACACTTCTTCTCGTTGAGATCATTGACACCGAACGTAAGCTTCTTAACTATTACAGTGGGTGTCCTTGTAAAGCTTACAACATATGTCAAAATCTGCACTTCAACTTGAGATAGATAAAATCATATAGAAACCAAGATTGAAATTGTGTACGCCAGACGCGCGTTTCGTCTTCAAAAGACTCATCAGTGACGCTCGAATCAAACAAAAGTTATAAAGGACAAATAAAGTAAGAAATTGAAGAGCATTGAGGATCAAAATTCCTAAAAGTGTTGCCAAACACAGCTAAGGTTAAGGTAATCTATTCCTGAGTGATCTCTATATTAATAATAGACAACTTCATCTGAATGCATAAATAGAAAAGTTTAATCGTATTGCACAAGTCTACTGTATTCCTTATGGCTTTTCTTCATTTTGAGGCCATCATATGAACGAATTCTGAAAAAAGAAAAAGAGATAAAGGTAACTGAAGTCGATCTTCGTAAATCATCAAATAGTGTAACATTGAGCGTGTGAAATTAACTTTTTACTTTTATTATCTTTGTTTCATTTAATGACTTTTGTACAATATAAAATTGTTGAAATGTCATCGATTGAAAATTATAGTGAAAATACCAATATCGGTTCCAAGTTGCTATTATGTGTCTTTTTATGTTGTAATGTTACACTACTGTTTCAGGTTAAGGTGAAGGTTGGCGCCTGTTGAAACGTTTAAACCCGCTGAATTTGTATGCACCTGTCATAAGTCAGGAGCCTGTTGTTCAGTGGTTGTCGTTTGTTGGTGTGGTTCATAAGTGTTTCTCGTTTCTCGTTTTTTATATAGATTAGACCGTTGGTTTTCCTGTTTGAATTGTTTAAGTCATTTTTTATAGCTTGCTGTTCGGTGTGAGCCAAGGCTCCGTGTTGAAGGCCGTACTTTGACCTATAATTGTTTACTTTTTATACATTGTGACTTGGATGGAGAGTTGTCTCATTGGCACTCATACCACATCTTCTTATCTATATTTATCATTAATTGGTATGTTCTACTTTTTGACCTGTCTCAAAGTTAGTGATGCCGCTAAAGACACATACTGCTTTTAAAAACTTCATTGATATTTGAATTCTACATTTCGTTGTATTTTTGTTTTAACTGAAACCAAAACACATTAAATTTCCATTATATTGATTTTTAAATATATTGCAATGTGTCTTTTTTTTTTTATCTTTTTGTATAACTTATCCTTCTTGGAATAACAGCAGAAGAGACACGATGCTTGTATTATTTGCATTTGTCTTATAAAGACCACCCTCTTGTTGACAAGTGAAACAACATTTAGTTGAACTCAAAATAAAAAATCAGATCACATTTAAATTGTAGTTACTTCAGAGTTTCTTTGACATCAACTCTGTGTAATTTTTCGAGATTTTTGTGAGATTGTCGACTACATCATTATAAAATAGCCCATTGATGTAGGGCACGTATAGCAGTAATACACAGATATAAGCAATAAAGGATTTTTTTTTATTTTGTAATTCCCGAAAAGGCAAATGTGAAATATCTTGTGACGGACATTTTGTGTACTTCATTAATATCAAAATAAGAAGATGTGGTATGATTACCAATGAGACAACTCTCCACAAGTGACCAAATGACCAGAAATTAACAACTATCGGTCACCGTACGGTCTTCAACAATGAGCAAAGCCCATACCGCATAGTCAGCTTTGTATTACCATGCTTGCATTTCGTTTGATAGTTTTACTTTATTTTCCGATATCCTCTTATTTAAACTGATAATTTTCGTATAATTGTTCAAAAGGGAGGTTAGTGTCTGCACTATTTTATCTGTGTTATTTTTTTGTCAGTTGATAAGCGTTCAACATGGATGGCAAGAGTATGATACCAGAAATTAGATGGTCAAATATGTGACGATTTGAGATTGTAGTTATTACTTCTTTGTGGACCTTGAATGCAATAAATATTGACACACTTCTTTATATACCTTCATAGTGAACTTGTCCATCACCATCCTTATCAGCAGCTCTGATCATTTCATCGATTTCGGCATCACTTAATTGTTCTCCCAAATTTGACATTGCTTTGCGGAGTTCATCTGCATCTATAATATCATCTCCATTTTTGTCGAATGCTTTGAAAGCTTCCCGAAGTTCTTCATGGGAATCTGTCTCCTTTACTGTCCTTGCCACCAAAGATAAGAAATCGGGAAAGTCTATGAGTTCTTCTCCTGTTTAACCAAAGTAAAAGTAATGACCAATGTGAACAAAATATACATTTTGAAACAGCAAAACCAAGAACAGTATAGTAAAAAGGAGATACGATTTCATGCTGAAGACCTGCAGATATTTTGTTGATGTTGATGTATATTTTGTCGTTTTTCTCACTTACTTGTTTCTCAACGTGTTTATTTGTTATAGTTGACATTTCGTTGTGACAGAAGATATTCCCATGCATACATGAATGAGTTGTTAAATCATTGCGTCTTTTTTTGCGGGGAAAAGAGAAGGATTAACAACAATTCGATTAGCATTTATAGTTTGAAACAAGACTTAGTGTTTGTACTGGTTTGGGATTTTTCTATAATTAAAGTATGGGTTATCTCAAAATACAAAAATAGTGTCTTCGTGTACTTATTATAACGTTGCTGTATTAAATCGCTTTGGAGGTAACAGTTTCTTATAGTATAGTGAAGGACGACAATTTCATATTACTTTACCAGCGAGTTAAATTGCTATGCTTGTACGTGGATGTTTTTGTTTTCTGTGATGGCGGTCACAACGGGACAAGTGTATTTTCTGGAAAGTCCGCTGATCAAGATTAAAGCAGGGAGGATTTAAATTTAAAAATCATATTTAACCCCGTCAAATATTATTATGCCTGTCCCAAGTGATCGAACTCGTAAAAAGTTGTCTTTATTTATTTGACCATCTTTGTTTTTACTTTGTTTTGCGTCAAATTTAAAAACTTTTCAAAATCTACCAGTCAGTCTGAAAGAAAAGCACACACACATATAAATAAGATCATACTTATACTAGAATAAATATGCAAAGAATGTCATTTTTAACCACAAACCTAGTACCCTTGTTCAAATATTATTTAAAGCAACCTTCACATCAGAACATGTATATTATTTTTTTATTCTGAGAGAAAAACCAAATGCTTTAAGACATTCAAATGACTACGGTAAAGATGTCCACTGAAATATCTGTTTTTATACAGTGATTTTATGGATTTTTCGTTTGCGTTTTTTTAAAACTTTGGACCATCAACTATTAGCAAGCGGACATACAACAAAGAAAAGCAAAATTTTGGCCAATAATCTAAATGTTTTTTTGTCATTTCAGAATTTATTGTCAGTGACGACAGATCTTTGATAGTCCCATTTATTCAATCACAACTTTTATTAGGATCGGAGCAAGTTAAATCTTGATATACTAAATATGAAAACTTATCTATTGTTGTCTTTGTAGATTTCAAGTCGGTGTGTTGCTGTCTGGCTGACGTAATCCTTATGTCACCTCATTATTTGTAGATATCCGATAACAAATTGTTACCGGAGTTTATATTGAAAAAAATATATCTACAGCAGAATTTACCGTTGCTTTCGGGATCAGCATACGCATGTGTCATTTCTTTCAATTCCTGGTTTGTAGGATTCTGTCCTAAAGCCATCATAACTGTTCCGAGATCTTGTATACTGATAGAGCCGTCGCCGTCAGTGTCAAAGGCACGAAAAGCTTCATAATATTCTGTAAAATGTACAATTCTATTAACTTGTCCTAATTTTTTAACACTAAAAGCATTTTTCTTTGTGTGTGTTTTTTTTGTTTTCTTTCTCCCAGTTTGAATTATAATAATACATTTCAATATCAAAACATGAAGATATATAAAAGGGGACTTTTTTTTCGAATTTTGCACTTGATTAATTACTTGTTTGATATCAAAACTTGATTGATTGATCTCTTATCATGATCTGATCACTTTAATCATGATTTAATTGATTGATAAATACTTTGTATAGTCTAAAATGGCACATTTTACATTGATTTATTCATTGTCTATACGTTTTGTGCTGTTCAGTGACAAGCACATTTATATTCTTTTTAGAGGGGACATTGGACAGACAACATGTGTGTATATATTGACGGAGCGGCATACTAACTGTTCATTTTTGTTCTTTAATAGCTCGCGTATCACACGATACATGTATCTTATCTTGTACAATTAAATTACACGTTCATCGATTGATTTCAGCTAATGTGTATATTTTAGCAGGTGTGTGATTCACGGATGTGTACTTTAATGCAAGTACAGAAATGTCACTAATATGTACTCTTAGTGTTTCTCTCTCTCTCGGTGTCGATTTTTTCTTCAAATAGATATAGGAAGATGTGGTATGAAAGCACTATTTTTGTATAGAATAGAAGCACGTTAAATTATATATTTTTTTCTCTTTTGGCATATTCTAGAAGATGTTTTGCAGTACAGATTTGTATTTGATCGTATGCACATACTCTTGATTACAGAATTTTGCCTCAAATTTACGAGCTGTTTTATAAATAAAAAAGAAGATGTGGTATGATTGCTAATGAGACAACTATCCACAAGAGACAAAATGACACAGAAATTAACAACTATAGGTCACTATATGGCCTTCAACAATGAGCGAAGCCCACACCGCAGTCAGCCGATGTTTTTTTTGGTGCTTTTTCCATGGCGACGGCGGCCATTTTGAAAATTCCAAAGACAAATAGCAACTCTGCACATTTCAGTTGACATTTTGTGAAGTTTTATCAAGTTTGGAGCATTTTGATTTTTTTGGAAATTTTGGAAATTTTTTGCTGTTTCCATGGTTACAGTGGATAATTCCAAAATTCTAGAAGCAGACATCTCATTGCCACATGTCATGTTATATATCAATACAGTTTCATTGACTTTGGTGAAATACTCTTTAAGAAAATGCTGATTTTATGCATTTTCACATAGGGTCAATGTAAAACTTGCCCCCAGTTTCCATGACAACGGCGGCTATTTTGGACTATCCAAATATTATCTTGACATCTTAGCATACTGGGTAACATTTTCATAAAGTTTCATTCAGTTGGGTCTTATAACGAAAGAGTTAGAATTTTTGATGTTTTAACTGTTTCCATGGGAATGGCAGCCATTTTGAAAATTCCGAAGTCAAACTGCAAATCAGCACATGCCAGTTACCATTCCTGTGGAGTTTCTTCCAGTTTGGAACACTTTGATTTTTTTGGCATTTTTGCTGTTTCCATGGAAACGGCGGCCATTTTTTACCATTCCATAGCAAGGTGCAGAACTTTACATGGGGGTCCTCATTATAGTAGAGTTCCATTAACATTGGTCCATTGGATTCCAAGAACTCGCGCGGACACAATGTGTGGAAGAAAAATAAGAAAAAAAAGGAAACGTAGAATAACAATACGTCAACCCAACTCCGTTGAGGGTGCCATAACTAGATTTGCCATTGCAAGCAATAACGGATGTCACCCTTACCCCTATTGCTTCTAAGCGGCAGCCATTTCGAAAATTTTAAACAGTGAATGCACATATATGCATGGCTTTACATCTTTCTGTAAATTTTCAGAACATTTGGAGCATTTTGAAATTTTTACACATTTTTGCTGTTTTCATGGCAATGGCGGCCATTTTGGAAATTCCAAAGCCAGAAGTCTCATTTATACTTGCCAGTTAACATTAATATTAAGTTTCATAAAGTTTGGAGCATTTTGAAATTTTTGACATTTTTGCTGGTTTCCATGGTAACAGAGACCATTTCCAAAATTTTAATGACAAATGCCACATTGGTACATTGGAGAGAGCATACCATCAAAGTTTCAATCGATTTGACCTACCATTTTAAGAAAGTAAATGCCACTTTTAGGTTTTTGGATCATTTTGACCTGTTTTGCATTGTTGCCATGGTAACGGCAGACATTTTTGAAATCCCAACGCCAAATTTCTAATCTACCAATGTTGCTCATCATTACTGTAAAGTTTCATCAGATTTTGAGCATTTTGATATTTTTGAAATTTTTGGTGTAGTTTCCACGGCAACAAAGTAGTTCCAGTGATTGTCAAAATGATCCAAAACCAGTATATAGTGGGCACCTACATTGTATTAAAATATCATGATTCTAAGTTTATGCATATCCAAATAATCTACCAAACTCTAAAATTTTATTTTTTTCACCTTTCTTTGGTTTCCATGGTGATGGCATCCATTTTTAAGTGCCAAAGTTGCACTGCAACTCGTAAGTCAGGGTTCCTTGTTATAGTGAACAACCATTAAGATTGGTGCATTAGGCTCTGAGAAAACTACAGGACAAAATTAGGTGGAAGAATAATAATAATAACTAGATTTGTCATTGCAAGCAATAGCGGATGTCACCCTACCCCCATTGCCAGGCGAGCGGCAGCTATTTAGAAAATTCCAAAGTCAAAGAGTGCAACTACACATGCAAATTATCATTTTTGTAAAGTTTCATCTAGTTTGGAGCATTTTGAAATTTTGGACATGTTTGCTGTTTCCATGGTTACGACGGCCATTTTGAAAATTCCAACTTCAAAATGCAACTCTGCCAATGCCAGTTACCATTTCTGTAAAGTTTTATCCAGTTTGCAGCATTTTGATTATTTTGAAATTTTGGACATTTTTGCTGTTTCCATGGTTACAGTGGATAACTCTAAAATTCTAAAAGCAGACATCTCATTGCCACATGTCATGTTATATATCAATAAAGTTTCATTTACTTTGGTGAAATACTCTTTAAGAAAATGCTGATTATATGCATTTTCCCATAGGGTCAATGTTAAACTTGCCCCAAGTTTCCATGACAACGGCGTCCATTTTGGAGTATCCAAATACCGTCTTGGCATCTTGGCATACTGGGTAACATTTTCATTAAGTTTTATCCAGTTGGGTCTTATAACGAAAGAGTTAGAATTTTTGATATTTTTACTGTTTCCATGGTAACGGCAGCCATTTTGAAAATTCCAAGTCAAACTGCAAATCAGCACATGCCAGTTACCATTCCTGTGAAGTTTCTTCCAGTTTGGAACACTTTGATTTTTTTCGCATTTTTGCTGTTTCCATTGAAACGGCGGCCATTTTTTACCATTCCATAGCAAGGTGCACAACTTTACATGGGGGTTCTCATTATAGTAGAGTTCCATCAACATTGGTCCATTGGATTCCAAGAACTCGCGCGGACAAAATGTGTGGAAGAAAAATAAGAAAAAAAAAGAAACGTAGAATAACAGTATGTCACCCCAACTCCGTTGAGGGTGCCATACTAATAAAAAAAAGAAACGGAGGAAAAGCAATATGTCACCCGACATTGCTGATCGGGTGACATAATAGAGAAACGGAGGAAAAGCAATATGTCACCCGACATTGTCGTACGGGTGACATAATTAGGATGCTAACACAAAAGTCGCCAAAACGGACCCCAATCATTATTTCTGCGGTATCCATGGTAACGGCGGCCATTTTAGAAATTTCAGAGTCAAATACCACTTCTACATATGCCAGTTAACATTTATGTAAAGTTTTATTACGTTTGAAGCATTTTAAAAATTTTCACATTTTTGAAGTTTCCATGGTAACGGCGGCCATTTTAAAAATTCAAAAGTCAAAATGCTGTTGCATATGGTGCTACCCATAATAATATACCATCATATAACATTTTATGTCTCTAGAATGAATTCAAAACTGATGTTCTAGAATGTTCCATGAAAATTCACCCCCCCCCTCAAATTATGCCAAGGAGACCCCCCAGCTGAAATAAAAAATATTCCATGTTGAAGTGGACATGTGTCTCTAAATATTCATAGAAGTAATCATAATTCTATCTACTCTGCATACAGCAGCTAATTTAAGAAATGTAAAAATTTTTTGACCCCACCTATCTTTGAGGCCCCCTAATTATGCCAAGTGGACACCCTGGGATCATGAATTTTGGGTTCTGCAACCCCCATTATACAGACCCATACCCATAATAAATATAAAGTTTCCTTCCTGTATAGCTTCCAAGAAAATGGTAGGACAGTTTAAGGGGTCAGAAAGAGAAGAATAAGAATAATAACTAGATTTGCCATTGCAAGCAATAGCGGATGTCACCCTTCCCCCATTGCTACTGAGCGGCAGCCATTTCAAAAAAATTCAAACAGTGAATGCACATATATGCTTGGCTATACATCTTTCTGTAAATTTTCAGAACATTTGTAGCATTTTTGAAATTTTTACACATATTTGCTATTTCCATGGCAACGGCGACCATTTTGGAAATTGCAAAGTCAAAAGTCTTATCTATACATGCCAGTTAGCATTAATATAAAGTTATATTAAGTTTGGTGCATTTTGAAGGTTTTGACGTTTTTGCTAGTTTCCATGGCAACAAAGACCATTCCCAAAATTGTAATGACAGATGCCACATTGGTACATGGGAGGGAACATACCATCAAAGTTTCAATGGATTTGACCTACCAATTTAAGAGAGAAAATGCTACTTTAAGGTTTTTCCCATAGGGTTTAAATGGGAAACCTTTCCCCAGTTTCCATGGCAATACAGTAGTTCCGATGATTCTCAAAATCATCCAAAACCTGTATATAGTGGATACCTATATTGTATAAAAATTTGAAGATTTTTAGTTCAGGCATTCTCAAATTAGTCATCAAAAACAAAAAAAAATATTTATCAATTTTTTGCTGTTTCCATGGAAA